GGGGGGGAGGCCAAGTTCACGGCCACGCTACTGCCCCCAGTTCTTGGCACTGCGTCAGGTCGTCGCTTACCACAACCCCACGCAAGTGCACATGCAAACCCCCTCTTGAGAAGAAGGCCCGACCCTACCCTTCCCCAAACGATGCTGCCTCGCTTCTCTGCATCGGCAAATTCGATGATCGCGGTCCTATACGTCACCATGTGTTTCTGCAACCCGGTTTTCTGGCGGGTATGTGGTGCTCTAAGAGATTTTTCGGAAAGTATGTCAGTCATTTTCAGTTTTTCCGACACTGCCAAGTAGTGCCTCTGCAAGCTCTCATGGCGCCTGGCACGTAGGCAACATTTTCACAACAGTGCATGCGTGCACTGCAGGGTGGCCTACCCTGAGTCTCACAGGCGCCAAACTCCCGTAATGTAACGAACGAATCTGCGAAAAACGTTCGTACTTTCTGGAAAGATGGATATCTCTGAGATAAGGGACATACAGTCAAGGTGGCACCGTGACTATACATCCTACCATTTTGATGGAGATGGAGCCGGATGGAGCGGCCCGCTTCCCCCCTTTTTCAAAGCTGACGGGCGGGCTAAGAAAGAAAACAAATACTCCGAAAATCCACCCCTATAGCTTGAGTAGGAGAGAGGCGCAGGCAGCACAAATCGGAGGAGTTCGGTAATAGATTTCGCTTACTCAGGAAACCGAGGAGCCGACGTGGGGGCGCGTTTCATCATTGTCCAACGTACTACTTTAGCCCTACAATTTGCATGGGACCTCGCGGGACAGCCACGCCACGGCACTACACGGTCTAGCCCCCGCACCCGCCAAGCTACCGGCGCCTCCGCTCTCGGTGGTCCAAAACTCGACAAACCCCATTCATCAGGACTATTTGCATACGACTCAGAGTCAGAGAAAGTGAGAAGAGAGAAGACAGAGGAGATAGAAGGGATGAGGGAGGAAGAGTGTACAAAGAGAAAGAGTTAAAGCGAGCCAAACGAAAGATATAAAATCAATTTGACTGATAGGTGTCTACGTACAGTGTGGAGGGAGGGCCAAAGGCTTCATATCATCATAATTAAACGCCAAGCCAAGACTTGCTGTTGGAAGAGCCTCAAAAAGGTGTTCCGGGCTATCTCAATCAATGTAGAAAAAAAGAACAAACCGATTTATCTTCCATCGAACCTGTTCGAGGAAAAATCATGTTGTTTAGTCCTAGTCGTCTGACTCCTCAAATATCGAGCGGGGACCGAAACTCATCTGATATTTTCCCACACATGAAAGGCCGTAGCCGGCCGTAGTCATAGAGGCGCGTGATCTGCCCAATCAGAAACGTCACGGAAGCAGCAAAACGAGTGAGTTTGTTCTTCTTTCTACTCCCGATTTTGATAGCAAGGCATATTGGTATGAAGCATGTTGCGATGAGGCGCAGTCCCCGACCCCGTGGCGCCCGCGGCCCTGGATCGGAATGTTTCGCCTTCGCTGTCGGCGCCGCCATCATTGGGCTGCTGCGCCCCGGCTCCGCGTGCTCTCAGGTATTTCGTGCATGTTTGACGAAGTTCGGGCGGGGTGTTTGGGTGGGGTTCCTCGTGAAGGTAGGAAGGTAGAAAGGTAGAAAGGAAAAGG